TTTGACCGTATTGATTTGATTGACGGATATTGATTGATTGAATTGAAATGATTGATTTGTCTGCCGCTGCATTGACTGGTTTTATTGACTATTGGATTTCCGTATTGCACAGATTCATTGACCATTGACTGATATGATTTGATTGATTGACATGCATATTGATAGCATCGCCGTGCTTTGATTTCAGTTATAGGTATTAGGTGACCTGCTGGGCTTTGTAAAGCTCATTATATGTGGTTGATATTTTCAGGTCAGGGCAAGGGAGCAGAAGATAGGAATTGATACTGATCTTCAGGTTTTTGTCTTTTGATGATTTTGATTCTTTTGTACTCAGGATAGATTTCAGTATTGGTGATTGTAGTGTAGTTCCTGAGTATTGTACATGACTTTTGAGATATGAATCGACTTGTATATTGATGTTTTAAATTTTATAGATGTTTGATAGATTGTTTAATTGAAGGTTTTAGATAACTCTGGTAAATTGTTTGAGAAATTGATTGACATTCTTTCCAAGTTAGATCTTGGGGCGTGACAGAAAGTTTGCAGTCAAAGCAAAGGGCAATAAGCCTCAAGGTCATCACTCCGTGGCGGACTGCGTTTAAAAAGGGTGGAAAGTGGGTGGGTGGGTATAACATCCCGAAAGTCATTATGAATGGGCATGGGTGGGCAAAGCTCTCCCGTGTAGAATGTGGGTACCCAACCAGGACCCCAAGTAGGGCTTTGTTGCCAAGAGGCCATTAATGTGAGTGAGGTTAAGTAATATTAGAAAAGCATTTGCTATATTGGGCCCAACAAATAATCAAAGAACCCATCAAGAGTAACCAAACCGAGAGACATGCATCCATTGAAACAGTGAAGTCCATCGTAGAGCATATTATAGCAATAAATGTTCAGTTTTATCAAAATTTGTCCAGTTGCAAACTTATGCTATTTCTTTCTTGATTTTCAGTTGAATAGTAGTGTAGAACATGAAGTTGTTTTGCCAAAAAGTCACTCCTTTCTGTCACGCCAAATAAAATAGATCAAGCAGCAAGTGGAGAAAGGCATTTAGGTCAATTAAGACAAATTCATATACACTTCACATACGCATGCAAGATTCGAACTTAAGACCTTTGGTTGGTAGCGAGAGCTCTCAACCAACAGACTAAGGTGAGCTGCGTTCTAAATCATTTATATGATTAAATATTTGAAGGTTGGGACGGAATAGGAAACTAACCGCCCACGGTAACTCGGTAAGCAATAAGTATATTAAACATAAACTAGAATGAATATCTAGATTACGAGCACAAAGCACATTGGCTATTTTACACCCCGCCAGCCAAGCACAACCAAGCAAAAGAAGAGTATCTAATAGCATAAAATTTATGTCAAATAAATAAGTACCAATTAAACTCATTAGATTTCCCTTAATGAGTCCTAATAAAATCGTTCAAGGTAAGACTTTTCTTGCCATGAGATCGGGATAACAGATATAGTATCATGTATATTTCATAGTAGCAATTCCAGGGAGGTGTCATTCGACATGAGGGAGTTGAGTGCGGAAGTTGGGGAGAAAAAGGAAGAAGATTAAAAATTGCATTTACAAAAAGATCCAACAAGGGTTTGCCATTGCGTTAGGGTCCCAAAAAAAGAGAAAATCTACTGCCATCGGATATAGAATAGTGTATATTTTTACACACTAAAAGCAAGTTGTTTAGTATCCTTCCAAAAGGGGGGAGACCATGCCAGAGTTATTAGTTTAAGGAGATAAATATTTCATTTTCCACCATTTAGAGAGCAAGATATGGGAGGAGAGAAATCCCACAATTGAGAGCATTTATTCCGATCAAAATTTGTTCTAGGGGCGCTGCCTCTCAACCCCTATTTGTTCATCGTTGTACGCTTCACAGATATGTCAGCGGTCTAAGGGGGCAGCACCCCCTGGCGTGATTCATCGTTCCCTAATAATAACATCTCTACACAATGTGTTAATTATATTGGGGCAATTGCGTAAATATCATAGTATTTTAAAATTTTTAGGGTGGGAATTGCCTAAAAACCCTTGTAATAAAGACAAAAAAATATATGGAGGGGAACAAATTACTTAAAGAATCATAGAATAAAGAATTTTTTTAATTTTCCAGGAGGGTCAATTGATCCTTTTTATTTTTGATCTTATCCTTCTTTGTTTTATCAATGTGAATAATCTACAGTAAACTCCTTTCAATGATATTTTGATGTAGATTGCTGCTTGGGAGTGTCAGCAAGTACGTAGTTACCAACGCAACATGCCCCGTTACAGTTGTGAAGGGCCCAGCTGCTCTGAAGCCTTAATCAGTTATATGTGTTCCTTAACTAAAGCTGGAGATAACGTTCCTATGTTGTTAACAACATGGATTATCTTTGTCTGTACTATTTTACAGTATTCCATTATCTTATGAATAGTTGCTTGTATCAGTGTGAGAAAATTATGATTGAACTATTAAAGGAGGAGAGATTGTGTGATGATGTTATAAACATTTGATGTTTCAATGTATAAACTACACAGATTATTTTCCTGATGCAACGATTAACGATCTAAGACTATTTTGTTTATTATTCTTTGCTTCTTATGACTAGATGCATTAAATCTTTGGTATTTGTATTTTTTTTTTCCTTACATACCTATCTTGTGGCAGACTTGAGTTACAGGCAAATAGAAAAAGCATTTATATATATAAAAAAAATCAGCTATGATTGTTTAAGTTTATTTTCACCTTTAAAATCGGCAACACTACATGAATCTTTTTTTCTTCTTTATTAAGAGTCAAATTTTCATCTAAATCTAAAAAACAAAGGTAATTTCTAATATTTTTGAATCAAGTCTTTTTAGATCAACCTTTATCTTTCTTAACATAAGTCAAATCTAATACATCTATTTTCCTAATTGGGTCATTGGAAGGCTGCCATTTTATGTGACCAAATCATCTAAGACGGCTCTCTGTAATCCAACAACAAATTACATTTAAAAAAAAAAAAGTTGTTTACAAACAATCAAATGAGCTCTTTGTTAACTGCAATAGTTGCTGCTTATCAGAAATTACTATTAAAACAATGGGTTTAACACAGAAAAGCCAGAAAATAGCAAAAACACTCATCATATAAAAGGTAGGATATAGATACACATAGAGTGGATGTTTAAGCCCCTAAGGAGAAAAAGCTCAACTAATTTACTTACTCTCCCTACAGAAATAGGCAGGCCGGCCACAAACCAAACGACTCACATGCAAATATATTGTACATTACTCGACAGAAAACTTCACACTGCATATGACAAAAAACCTCCCCTCAGGCATCAACAAACACCATTAGTCTTCTTCTTCTCCACTAGCCTATTCCAGAAAGTGATTACCTCCTTCTGCACCTCATCGACGCTCTTCTTCGGCACGGTGCCGTCGTTACCACTTATCTCAGATGTAACGGCAGCAATCTTTGCTATCCGGCTCGGGAGAGCTTCGATCTCCAACAGCACCTTGTTGATGTCCGCAACAAGTCGCTCAGCGAGGCTTCTGCTAAAGTCTTCCCTGATCACCACTCTCAGAACTGCCACATGCTCTGCATCAGGTGGCATTGTGTAGGCCGGGACTATCCACCCAAACCTTCTTAGGCTATCTGATATCTCAAAGACTGTGTGTTGGCTACTGTCCTTCAGTTTGAAGGCAACAAGGGGCACTCCACTGTCTTTTGAGACTATATCAAACCTCCCAGTACTTTCAATGCCTTCCTTGAGGATTCTTGCATTCTCCACGCAGTTCTCCATGATGTTTTTGTATCCCTATTTGCATGTATCATGATATGTCACTCGGGGAACAAAACAGGAATGGTTTTAAAGAAGGTTTGTATTTTGTTATCAAGAGAAATAAAAAGCTACAAGCTAAATTCAAAATATTATAAGGTTCTCCTGATGAATCTTTTCATTTAACAGATAAGTTTAATGTTTACAATTGCATACTATTATATTTACTGTCTATATTTATACAAAAAATAAATAGCTTTTGTACAAGTTAACTGCTTTGTATTTTGTAAGGTTTAATTTTCTGAGAAGGGCTGTGAAATGCATGAACTTTCTTTTCGTATGATTGATCAAATTTCCTGTAATTAAAATATTGCACACAATATATAAACCATGGCACAATTATGTCAAAATGACATTTATTGTAGTGTAATATAGGTGGAACAACCTAATTTTAAGAGAAGTTATCTTTTTGTACCAACAACAGAATGTTTACTCATACATGCCTAGATCTTGAATTAATTAGTACCCTGTGATCTATGAATCAGTATTTCCTACATGATTCATATAGGCATCATATTAGTTCAAGTAAAATACACTAATATTGTCTTAAATCAATGTATCTTTTCAAGCCATAGAAAAGTTCCACTCATAAGCTAAATCTTGAATCAAACTATCCTACGTTCTTGCTCATCATCACAAAACTAGTGAAATCAAGGTTGCAAAAATCAGACCGAAGATAGAAATGAAAGAAAGAAAGGTTCAATTATACAATCGGAATTGAATCAGAGTTAAACTGGACAATATAATAAATATTTAAATTATTTAAATTATATTTAAATGACAAGCTAGAATGGAAAAATTATGAAATAATATAAATTTATGATTAAAAAATAAATAAAATTTATACACAGATAATATATTATATGATTTTAAATTTAAATATCCTAAATCATTTATTTTAATTCATATTTAATATAAATTTAGTTCACATATAAATTTATAATTAATATAAATAATTACTAATTCATTTTATATATTTAGATATAATTTACACCTATAGATTATACACAAAATTCGCATTATAAAATTACATCTATAAATTCATATTGTGTCATTTATAATTAAAAAATAGATAAAATATTAATTTTTATATTATTTAATTAAATAACTAAATAGATAAAATTAAATATTATTTACATTATAAAAATTAATTAAAAAATTATTCCCGATTGAACCAGTCGAACTAGCCCGATCTAATTTTCAAAACAATAAGTGAAACACAAAAAAGATTATAATGCAGAAAATAGCTCATTTATCCACGAAATGACCATGCTGGAGACAAAGTTAAGCGGCATTGTTACCTCATATCCCAATCGTATAAACTGGTAGTACTGAGCAATAATATGGCTTGAACCTGCAAAGGAAAAAAAAATAACAGATTACATTTTGCGATTTCATGATTCAAATGGTTTCTGTGAAGAGCATTAGCTAAAACATAAAACAAACCTTTGGAGAAATTGAGAGTGAAAGTCGGTTGATCTGCACCCAAATAGTTTATATGGAAAATAAGTTCTTCAGGCAAATCCTCCTTGCTCCTCCAAACCACCCAGCCAACACCAGCATAGACCAATCCGTATTTGTGACCACTGGCATTGATGCTCTTCACTAATGGCAAGCGAAAATCCCATTCCAACTCTGGATAAAGGAAAGGTGCAATAAACCCACCACTTGCAGCATCCACATGAATTGGAGTAGCCCAACTGGCAAGCAAAAGAAAGGAGCTTCAATATCACTGAGCAAGCAATTTCAACATGCAGGTATCTTAGAAAACATATTTATAAAATTGTATATGTGGTAGGCATGTAATATTAATATTTTAGGTGTTAGATATGTAAATAGCATGAAATAAAGTGGTATATATGTAAATTTCTCCTATTTACAAATCTAACATCCAAAACATTATTATTACATGTCTATCACCCAGAAAATAAATTTGGGTGCATAGAATGAAATATTAAAGTTTATAGAATGATATAAATGATAAAAATGAATTATAGGAATGGTATATTTGATATTAAAGTTGTATATAGGTGGTAGGCATGTAATATTAATATTTTAGGTATTAGATATGTAAAAAGCATGAAATAAAGTGATATGTATGTAAATTTCCCTATTTATAAACAAACTGCAAGGAAACATAAAATTTCATAGCTTCCTAATAAATCTATCGATGTGAAACTTTATCATCTTGCAGATGTAAATAAAAGAAGACATGGGTAAAACAACAAGGTATATCAGAGTTGAGCCTGGAGACAAATTACCCGGTTTGTTTGTTCTTCTCCGCAAGAAGATCATTCAGAAGTTTAACGTCTTCGAACTCCCCGGTTAGAGTAGAACCCAAAATAGCAGCAACGCAAATAGTATTTTCATCGACCATCTCCACAGCCTTTTCAGGGTCCATGACATAAAACCCCTCCCTTAGTTTTACTTCTTTTAACTCTACTTCAAAATACCTTGCAAATTTTTCCCAGCAAACCTGTATAACAGAAAAAGAAGTCATTAACAATTCAAAAAATAGATCACCTTTCATCAGAAATTACCTGAACGTTTGCACCAGTAACTATGTTGGGCTTGTCGTAAGGCTTCCCCTCCGCCTGTCTTCGGTTCTGCCACTTCCTCTTGAATGCCAACCCAGCCAGCATTATCGCTTCTGATGAACCAACAGTTCCAACTCCTATTGCAGTTTCATCCTCACCAATGGGAGCATTGAAAAGGTGGGCAATTATATTAACGCAGCGGTTCTACAAAAGAAACAAAAAACCATTTACCAAAATTTACCGTTAGAACTATGCTGGTACGCCAGTTCTTTAGAAGAAAGTTTTTTATGATGACTTGTCAGGAAAATCACATATGTTCCATTCTAGAAGCAATTCCCTATATTTGTGAATTTCAAGTTCACCTTTTCCATATTTATTTCTGGGTACGAAAAGAAGCGGCGTTTTGAAGGAATTTCAGGCTTGATTGAACATGCAATCATACAACTCTTTGAATAGGGACAGAATAATTTGGTAAAAATGTGCAGTTTGAAGGAATAATGTAATCTACTTTCTTAAAGCTTTGTTTAAGAAGAAACAAATTAGTCTAAATGAAACGAAACAAGAACAAAAGAACTGTATAGTTACGTGTTTTTAACATATGAAATGCGTGAGACAGACCCAATGGACATTTCACTAAGCATACTTCTACATTGAAAATAAAACAAAATCTGTTGGTGGAAGCACATAATTATTTTGACATATCAGAATGAGAAGAAAAAAACTAGTCATCACGGTGAAATTTTGATAATGACCAGTTTGTGTGCCGTTCAATGACATTTTGAATCACTGCTCTTAAAGGGTCTACCTCCGAAGACAATTCTATTGATAGATAAAACCATACAAGACTTATTTCTATTGTAAGAAACAACGGCACATCAAGATAGATTGCACAGCTTTGAAAAAAAACGAGCAATGGGTAAGTAACAACCATTAGGAGGACAGGACATTACATCAGATGCAAATACAACAGATATTGATTTTAATGATCTTTTTGTAATTGATGTTTCCAAGCAGTGCTCAGTAATTATTTGATTCAACATATTTTTTCATGTGTCATGATAAGTCATTGTTTTCTATTTTTAAATCATGTAATGGGCATGCACGAATGGAAAAGAGTATGTGGAAGACTAAGTTTGGGCATTATTTATATTAGGACACATGATGGCCATCTAAGACTTCGGTTGAGTGAAATATATACTAGATTTGAGAGTGAACATTGTATCTTTAAGTGCTCTGATGATTATGGTACAAATTTTATGGAGATACTGAGATCCTAAATGTTTGTAGAGGTTTTATGATTGTCATGAAGACTAGTATAGTTGGAAGGCTACTATGTGTTACAAGGAGCAACTTTAAAGCATGCTTCAACCATATTTTGGGGAAGCAAAAAAGAGTTAGCTTTCATACTGCAAGAAAAGTTCCAAAATGAGTTCAAGCATGAGATGATGGAAGACTTTAAGTAATTTGGTGGATTATGTTGTTTTGCATAGTCTATCCTGATGTCAGATCACACTGTTATAGCATTCAGGATGAGAAGACAAATGAATAAGAGGCAAAAAATTCTAATGCCAGACGTACATTCAAGTTCAATGATAGCACTTTAGTGTGAAACATCTAAACCAAAGGGACTCTCTCATGTATTCAATTACATGGTTTTTGAGTATAATGAGATTATGAGAGGTGCTAAGCCCTTTGGAGCATTGAGAACTTAAGTGAGTACTCAGCTTAGAAATAAGTCATAAGAGAGATCCAGTTTTGCCACAGGAATGAGTCGAGGGAGAGAATAATTAATTTGACTCGATTGGTTTTGTTGAAATTTGATGATGCTGTAACGTAGAAAAGGAGCACAGAACAAAGAGAACAAGACAGGATAGAAGTATAAGACTACAAAAATAAGCTTTCTACTCATATGTTCAAGCTAATTAATTGAAGGTACAGTATGTGAAAGAAGTAGCTAAGTAAAAATACTAAAGTGCCCACGGTTGTCTCCTGAGAAGGATACCGCAGCTGAGAAGTAGATGTAGTGGCTGCATAAATGTCAGGTAGAGAAACAGAGGAAATCATGAAAAGAAGCAGTAGTATGGAGCATAGGAAAGAACATAGGCCAGTGATGCACTAGGTAGAGCCATTGGATGCAGCTTTATCACACCCCTTCAAATTGATGGGAGAACAGACCTTCAACTTGTCACGAATAGATTGAAAATGGGACGTACGTAAAGCGTTGGTGAAAATATCAGCAATTTGATTTGTTCTGGAAACGTGCTGGACAGTTAAGATCTTATTGTTGATTCTTTCAAGGTAAAATGATAATCAATCTAAATATGTCGAGTATGGGCATGAAAAATTGGGTTGGTGGCAATGCACATAGCTGAAATGTGATAGGAAATACTTGAAATCAAGTAATTCCTAGCCAAAACTGAAGCGGAACAAGGGAAAAACTGCTGTCTCCAGTCGTGGACAGCAGCTTTACACAGGAAAACAGTGAGGAAACGCGAGAAAACTGAGATCCAACGCAAGCAAAGGCTAGTATTTTATTTGTAGACGAATAAAATAGCAAAGATACAATTTGTTCTTCAATTCGAGAGGAAGAACGTACTCTCCAAAGTCTCCGGCGAAGCCAAGAGCCCAAAACAAAGCCTAGATCTCAAAGAGAAAACTAAAATTCAAGATAACCCTAATTTCCCCCCATCTCCCTAATTAAAGCAAAATGAAAGATGCAAATTACATAAACACCCTCCTCATTCAAAATTACCCTCCAACGAAACGCTCAAAATCCTCCTAGCCCGCCTCTTCTTCTGCCGTTTCTGCGAACGGGTTCCGCCCGGCTTTGGACCGCCGGGCGTAGAACCGGACCAGTCCAACTGGGACCGGTCCAGGCGTAACAAAATGTTGTTGCATAAAATAGTAGCAGTGTCTAAGGAAAGGGAGAAGTCCTGATAGAGGCGTCAAAGCTAGATTATTTCGATTGTAGCTGCGGCAAGAGATCAGTATTCTGCTTCGGTTGAGGAGCGAGCGACAGTTGACTGCTTTTTTATAGACCATGAAAGTAATGTATTGCCCAAATAAATACAATAGCCTGTAGTTGAGCGCCTATCTTGGGTGTCGTCAGCCCAGTCTGAATCAGAAAAGGCAGTAAGCTACAAATTGCCTTTTTGAATAAGCAAACCATGAGTTTGAGTGCCTTGTAAGTAGCGGAGAATACATTTTAATAATTGAAAATAACATTGGAGAGGTTGATGCATATGTTGAAAGATTTTGTTCATAACAAAATTGATGTCTGGTCGAGTATTGGTCATGTATTGAAGAGCTCTTGCCAGTTGACGGTAAAGAGTAGGGTTTTCGAAAGGTTGTTGCGAAGCAGAGTCTATAATGTACTTGGACGGTAGAGGGTTGGAGAGAGCTTTGCATGTGGTCATTCCAACTTTGTCCAACAATTTTGAATGTAATGTTGTTGAGTGAGGTGGTAACCGGCAGTTTATAAGGTAACGTCAATGCCAAGGAATCATGTGAGATTGTCAAGGCTGCGTATGTGAAATTTGTGTTGTAAATGTGTGAGCTGCGATGAAATGAATGAATGGTTATTGCCAGCAATTAAAATGTCATCCACGTAAATGAGAATGTAAGTGTAGATAGTGTTGTTTTTGTAAACCATCAATGAGGATTCAACTTGACTAGAATGAAAGCCGAGGTTAATAAGGTAAGAGAAAACAGTAGCGAACCACTACTAAGATGCTTGTTTAAGACCATAAATAGCTTTCTTAAGCAAACAAACATGATGAGCGTATTGGGGATTTTGAAAATCATATGGTCGGGTCATATAAATAGTTTCAGTGAGCTCACTATGGAGAAAGGCATTGGCTACATCTAGTTGTAAGATTGGCCAGTTTGAGTGCTAGGCAATGGTAAGGAATAGCCAGATGGTTTAGAATTTGAAAACAGGATTGAAAGTTTCAATGTAATCTAAACCATATTCTTGCTTAAAGCCTTGAGCAACGAGACGAGCTTTGTGTCTGGCAATAGAATCATCTAAGTTGCGTTTTAATTTGAAAATTCATTTGCATCCAATTACATTGAAATATGGTTGAGGGGGAATTAGGGTCCAGGTGCCTTGTGATTGAAGAGCAAGAAATTCCTCAGACAAGGCTTTGAGCCATTCAGGAAATTTGATGACATAAGTATAGCATGTAGGAATAGTATGGAGAGAGTATTGTAAATCAAGAATGTGATGAGGTTTGAGGGATCCAGTTTGAAGAAATGTGACCATGGGATGTTAGGGAGGAGTAGAAGTAGCAGAGGAAGAAGAAGAAGTAGAAAGAGGGGAAAGGGATGATGCTAAAATCATAGATGTAGGACGGTTTGGAGAACTAGAAGAGAATGGATAATCAGGAGTGGTGTTTGAGGATGTAGGAACTGTGTTGGGAATATTTGGTGGAATGGGAGGAAGAATAATGGGAGTGGGGGCCTTAGATTTAGAAGTGGTGGAAGTTATGAGGGGACTTGGAGATGAAATATGAAGTTCGTCGAAAACAACATGACGTGATATGATGATGCGTCCGTTAGCAGGGATGTAGCATTTGTAACCCTTTTGGTGTGTAGCATAACCATGAAATATACAAGAAGCTGATCAGGGATCTAATTTGGTAGATGTAAGGTTTTATCCAAGGGTAACACCGCCATTCAAACACACGTAAGTGATTATAGGTAGGAGGAATGTTAAAGAGAAGTTGAAAAGGTGAAATATATGATGTATTGGTGGAGGGTAGTCGATTAATAAGATAGATTGTTGATAGAAGAGCTTCAACCCAAAAGAGAGCAGGTAGATTGGCCTCAAAGAGAAGAGTTCGTGTAGTTTCTCAGAGGTGATGATGTTTGCATTCAACAACACCATTCTATTGAGGGGTATAGGGACGTGTATTGGTGGTGAATGCCATATGGGATAAATAAGCTTTTAAGAGAGGAGTGAAGGAATTCGCCACCTCCATCGGTACGTACAATACGTATTGTGTAGTTCAATTGTTTTTCAATGAAAGGTATAAATGGGATTAGTGTAGGTGTTGTTTTGGATTTATGTTTGAGTGGAAAAATCCAAGAGTAGCAAGAGTAATCATCCACTAAAAGCAAATAAAATTGAAAACCATTACTTGAAATAATTGGAGTGGGTTCCCAAATATCGGCATGTAATAATTCAAGCGGTGAACAACAACTAGTTGATTTATTAAAAGGTAGCCTATGACTCTTAGCAAGAGCACAAGAGTTAGAAAATGTAGTTGAAGAAAATAGAAAAATACATAATTCTGGAAATTGTTTGGAAATAATAGAAATTGTGTGTGAGCTTGGGTGACCAAGACGTCAGTGCTAGAGGTTGGAAGAGACAAAGCTTGTATTGAAGGCAGCGTGTGGCGGCTGAGATGTAGGAGTGAAGCGGCTTGGAAGAGGAAAGAGGTCATTATGGCATGAACCTTGGAGAAGAGTTTGGCGGTTCTTTCAGTCTTGTTTGGTTAAGCCAGAGCGATCGAAAGAAATGGTGAGATCATTATCTATAGTGAGTTTAGAAATGGAAACTAGATTGTGTGAAATATTTGGGACATGTAGTAGAGTTTTAAAAGAGAGCATATGAGCCGAGGTGGGATGCTCAGGTGAATGAGTGGCTTTACTCTTAGAGACATGATACAAAGTGAACATATATGTGAAAAGTTTGGAGTAGCTCCAGTGGAAGATGAGATTAGAGAGAGTCGCCTTAGAAGGTTTGGTCATATAAAATGGCAGCCTTCCGATGACCCAGTTAAGAAAGTATATATAGTATGTTTGACTTATATTAAGAAAGATAGAGGTAGACTTAAAAAGACTTGGTTAGAAAATATTAGAAATGGACTTTCTTTATTAGATTTAAATGAGAATTTGACTTTTAACATGACACAATGGAAAAAAAGGATTCATGTAGCGGACCCCACATAGTTGTTATATGATGTTTGTTCACCCTTCCTAAATGACAAGCAAACCTGCAGAAATCAGATTAGATTGGAGTCTACGCAGATATTACTCCAATGGCCTCTCTAGATGACACCTTCAAGTGGGAAAAAGGAGCACAGAAGTTAACAAACTAAAGTAACTAAAAAACAAGAATAGAAAGAAGATGATAATTCCCATTAAACTATCATTTTAAGTGGTTCACCGAAAAACTCATTCAAATTCTAGTTTTTGTGAGTCTAATTGAAAGAGATTTCAACAATCTCAGCACTCAAATATACAGAAAGTAACTTAGACTCCCTATAAACTGAAAGTTGGATTTTTAAACAATAAAAGAAAAAGAAAACTAAAAGTACAACTTAGCATGGAACATATGAGAGACGTTTTACATTTGTTTTGTTTCGCTTCCCTTCACTACTGTTACATTTTTTTTGGATTAAGCTATCACAATTCCATCTATAATCATAATTTCAATTAGAAAATTCTCCCAAAATACAGAAAAGCTTCTCAGACCTTCCTGGTCTTTACAAGGCCAAACAACCATAGAGATTCCAAGTATTTTGGATTTCAAAAAAGATAGCGGTTTATTAAAGGTGTTTTAACCTGCAGTTCAGTGGTAACAGGATACTCATCCATGTCCACATAATTCTTGTTGATTGCAGACATAATGAGGCGGTCGCACTCTGGCTCCATCCATGTTGTCACAAATGAGGCAAGGTTCAGCCTCGGGTTACCATCCAGCATCAATTCATCATTTATGATCTGATACGCAGCCTCTTTCGGTATAGAACAATCTGGCAACTGGAACCTAATCCAATCCCATCAACATAAAAAAGCAATCAATCAAACATGATAAATTTAAATTTTCTGGGCACAAGCTATTCGAACAGAAAGTCTTCACAAAATTGAACAAATTGGTTTAAGACATTTTTCCTCCTTTCCCAATTAAGAGCGAGCTAAAAAAAAAGTGGAGGAACAACTATAAGATACAACCATCCTAACTTAAGTAATCTAAGAAAACAAGGGAAAAACACACCACCTAGTTTTACTTTTTAACCAACAGAATAGCTCCAAGAGAAGAAAAAAAATGAAATAAAAAACATGTAAAAGGGAAATTTAGATTTAGAATAGACAAAAAATCAAACTTCATTAATATATATACCCTGACTATGATGATAAAAATATTAAAATTAGAAACCACTTATTACCAAAAAATTCATTTGATTACTTATAGATATTGATGTAATTTTCAAAATTCAAATAAACTTTTGGAATCAGCTCTAAGACCATCTGAACTCCATTTTCAAAAATTTATAATTGGAACAAATATTTCAATGACACAAACCTAATAATACCTAGAACACATTGATCCGAGTCCAAATGAACTTGAATCAGGCACTCAAAAGAATAGTTGAAAACTTAACGAGGCCTGTGAAGCACGAACATAAGCATAGGGATATGAACACAAGAAACAACAAGGCATAAGAGTAAAAAAAAAATGCAATAGGCCATTGACACAATGTCATATTATATAAATTATTAATATAAAATATAATTTTTGTATTAATATAAAATATTGTTAAACCATCCATGTGTATAATATAAATTACTCAATCAAGTAAGTGTGTAGGCACGAGTAAATGACACATATCCATACCCTTGAAGTTTAACTTTTTCAAAAAAAAAAAAAAGAAATTTAAAATATATTTAATTTTAATTTGGAAACAAAAAAATAAATTAAAAAATGTCCATAAAATTGTAAATTGTTGAAAATTTTAAACTTTTACTCGTTTTCCATTGTGTTGACCAAACTTATCTTAGAAATGGCTAGTGAAGTAGAGGCTAGGGCATGTGCAAAGAAGACATTGGACAAGAGAGACATGACCTTGCATGAAACATGTGATATATGTGTCAATAACTCATTAAAGGGGAGAGGAGTATGAGGCAATAAATGGAATAGGGTATCAAATGCTTTACATGTGAACTTAATTTTCCATCGATGTCACAATCCGAGTCATTGTGTCTCACTCGAAGAAGAAGAAGATGCAGAGAGATGATGTGTTATGATATTTCTTACATGCGAAGAAGATACAGGAGACAGCTAAGGCATGCATGCATGTAAGAGAGACTAATGCACTAGGGCATGTATAACATAGTTTATTTCAATATTCCACACATGTTCCGACATGTCCTCAGATGTCCGGCCCACGTAAGCCCATTTTGTCACAATTCAATTTTATCCTAAAATAACTCTGACATAATTTTGAAAATATCAAACACATATTGAGGTGTGTCGGAACCATGTCTAACACATATAGGGAAGTCATTTAGAAGTATTCATTCTTCGTAGCGCAAGACCATCGCCAATGAGGTTAACATCCATCATAAAACCAATGCTAACACATCCATTACTAACAAGGCCAATGCTTGTTGTTGTAAGTCTGATGCTCGTTGTTATTAACAATGCCAACATTTACTATTGATAACAACGTTATTATTGCTAATAAGGCCAATGCTTGTCATTCACACCAATGCCAATGTCAATTGATGCCTCTCATCACCATTCATATTGATGCTTCTCATCATCAAAAACCCTAACCAGTACTATTACTCACCATCAACAACAACGTCGACATCCACCGTCACAAATAAGACTGAGACCTATCAATTCGAGCAAGACTGCACTTGCTATTTTTAACAAAACCTTGCTCATTGTAATCAATAAATCCAATGTTTGTCTTCACCAATAAGGTCGACACGCACCAACACCACACCAACACCAACACCAACATTAATACTAGTATTCATAGTTGCCTGCAAAGCTGACACCAACCATTGACACCAAATTTGATACTTGCAGTCGCCATCAAGGCCATGGTTTAAAATTGCGCAATATGAGGCTCACCTTGAGGCCCGCCTTTGCGCAATTCAAGTAAAAAACGCCTCGATGCTTACGCCTCGAGTTTTTTTTATGAGGCTTGCGCCTCAACTTGGTTGAGGCCCGCCTTGAGTCCCGCCTCGCCTCACTGGCATGAGGCTTACGCCTAACGCTATATATATTAAAACTTACATAAATCTTGAAGTAAATGCCTGACATTGGACTCTATAGGAAAGGAGGAAGGGGAGATAGCAGTTCACCATAATGATGATTCAAATGAAGAACCCCTTAGTGATGACAGTGCTGATGACTTATGAGTTCTTATGTGATATGCCATTGATATTTATTTTGGAAATTGGAATTATATGTTAATGAAAAGAATACTGGGATTTGGGAAAGATAGAATTTTGAGTTGAACTATATTTCATATTGTCTTATTATTGAGATATTTTCACTTCATATCTTATGCTTTTTTTATGTTTTATATTATTCACTCATTAGTATATAAAAAATTTATCATTTTATATCTACGCAATCTTTTGATTTTGAGGCTTACGCCTCAAAACGCCTTGAGGCTTACGCCTCGCCTCACGAATGAACAACGCCATAATACCCGAATAAGCAATTTTAAACATTGATCAAGGCTAACATACACCATCAATAACAATGTTGATGCCCATTGTTGCTACTAAAGTTAATATACGTACCATATTGTCACCAATCTCCACTCTTATAAGAACAAAGCCCGAGCAAATCATTGATTGCTTCTTGATGACAACTTTAACATCTAAATGCACCTAATTCTATCATGAAACTCATTTTTGTAATTCATATTTTTCATATTATATTAATGTCTTCTACAGTTACTGGAAAGTACATCTTTTATGACCTACAACTTTTACTGATAAATTCATGGCCGAGTTTTAGAAAAGATTACAGATGAAAACATAATTAGCAGTAGGAACATAATACAAAAGAAATTTAAAAAGGATAAAAAATGCAAAACATAATTGTGTTTTCTGCTAAAACTCAAAAAAAAAATTGCATTTTTTTAAAGAAAATGCAAAAAAAAATTTGTTTTCTATAAAAAAAAACACAATTTATTTTTGCGTTTTTCACAAGAAACGCAATTATATTTTGTATTTCATGTTAAAAAACCTTTTTTTAATGCATTGTTTTAAATTGTTGCCGGTTAAGCTTTTTTTTTTTGGTTTTTTAATTATTTCAAATTGTATAATTAAATTAAAGAAAAACAGCCCGTGATTACCGAAAAAGTTAAAAAATGGGCTTTTAACATTGTTGTGTCTTGGAATATTCGTGGTGGTAGAAAAATATAAAGTTTAACGTCTTAACTTTGTACGAAAATCCAGCACACAATCAGATAAAATAGGGTATAGTGCTTATAAGAGACACCAGATTTTTTACGTGGAAACCCCTAAAATGGGAGAAAAACCACAGGGCCGGGCATAGTTTGAATGAATCCACTAGTGTTTGTAGTGGATTAAAAATACGACCCTTACTTGAGGGGAAGGTCATGGCTTGATGTAGCAAATATACATCATATAAAGTGCATTACATGGTAGGAATTAAAAGAATCGGTATTTAGTCGGCGGGTGGCGGGTGGCGGGTGCGGGTGGCGGGTGGCGGGTGGCGGAGGTCAGAAAGATCGTTATCGGTTACTGGTGGTTGAAAGGACCATAATCGGCGGGTGACGGAGGTCGAAAAAATCGTAGTCGGTGGGTAACAGTGGTCAGAAGGATCGTTGTCTAGTGACGGAGGTTGGAAGGACCGTAATATGGCGACGAAGGTCAGAAGGACAATAATTGGCAGATGATAGTGGTTAGAAAGACCATTGTCAGGCGACAGAGATCAGAAGAACCATAAATGGCTGGCGACAGTGGTCAAAAAGACCATTGTCTGGTGACGGAAGTCAGAAGGACCATAGTTAACGTGTGACAGAGGTCGGAAAGACCGTAGTATAGAGAAAAAGGTCAGAGGGACTATTATTTGGTGATGGATGTCAAAATGACTATAGTCAGCAAGCAACAGAGGTTGAATAGACTGTTGTCTGGCGATGGAGGTCGGAAGGACTGTAGTCTAGCGACGGAAGTCAGAAGGGCCGTGGTCGATGGGTGACAGTGGTCAGAAAGACCATTATCTAGCGACGAAGGTCAGAAGAACCGTAATTCGCGGGCGAAATTCAGAAAGATCGTTGTTTGGAAACAGAGGTCGGAAGGACCGTAGTCAGCGGGCGAAAGTGGTCAAAAATATCGTAGTCTGACGATAAAAATTGGAAGGACCATAGTCTGGCGATGGAGATGGGAAGGACCATTGTCTGGTTATATAGGTTAAAAAGACCATAATCGGTGGCCGGGTAGAAGTTTAGCGTCAGTCTGTGGCCAGGTAGAATTTCGACGTCAATTTGTGGCTGGGCAAAAGTCCAACATGTAACAACTCAAACTCTTAACTATCGAGATCTTGTCCACTTTGACCTAAGAGCTTCACGAATTTATTATGTTAGTATATCTTCCCAATAAGTCACCTATCCCATAACTATTCCGGGATGAGCACGCTTCACTACGAAGTTTCTTAGTAAAATTTCAAACATTATACCAAAAGGCGCATCAATGTTTAAGAGTTTATATTTTTTTACTTAAGACATTTCACACGGCGTCAGTCGGTGGCTAGGCAGAAGCTGGTTGATGGTCCGATGGTTGTCAAGAAGTCTGGTGGCAAGAGAACTCTAGTTTCTCTCTCTTCCTTCATGAGGGGTTTATTTATAGTTTTCTGATAGTGACATGACAAATAAATAGGGAGGAGATCAAGGGCAAGCTGTGAGTGATTTGAATGGACAGCCGATGTTGATCCCCTTGATCATTGACCGTTTATTGGGCATTTGAATATCTTAATGATATCAGAATATGACGATCTTGGGCTCGATGGATTCGTCTTGTCAAGCCGCTTGATTCGATAATAAGCATGTCACGTTTGGAAATCATTTGGTCATCCAATTTATGATTTGAACCATTCAAATGTGCGTCAGCTCTTCGATTTGGACTCATTTGGGCTTAGATTGAGTTGGATTTGGTGTCCTTGAATTTGTATTTTCAAGTAATAATAAATAAAGAAGAAAACTGAAATCAAACAAAAGGGGCCAAAATATCTTTCTTTTAGAAAAATTGCCATAAAAAATAAGATCATTAGATCGATCCATGTTTCAAATCAACCATAAAGCCAGTTTACTGATCCCACGAATTAACAAATCAATCAGATGGTGGTTTAAATTCGATCAATCCGCCTTAGACAAAAATAAATTTACTTCAAGTTTTTCACTCCCTCACAAAGAAGCGCGCGCGCGCGTGCGCGCACATGAACACGCAAAAAATCAAACAAATAAACATCAAATCCACCCCCTTATACCTGGGAAGAGAGGTCCGAACGTATCTGGAAGCGAAGGTGCAGGGAAGGGACTCCCCGGCGGCCAAATTCGTCGTCGTCAATACCATATTGCTCGCTTTCGCCCTCAACCTCAAGAAGTTCACGAACAGCGCACAAAGGAGATACGATATCAAACGAAAGGGAAAGCGGATTTGTCACCGGCACGCAGGCGATGTGGCGAGCGCGCGATGAACGTCACCATCTCGATTCTCGACAACTCCCTTAAAGACGGTGTGATTGTGATGCTGACGGGTCGCTGGTAAGTTCGAAAAGTTTGCAAGCGTTTGGACAAACTTTTAATGCAACTCCTTGATCACCGTCCCTCATAGATCAAATTCGTGCTGGTACTCAGGTGGGCGTAAGGGATTTTCCGCAGTTTTTTTAGTGGTGTCGGCCGGCAGGAAAACATTTATTATGTAGATAATGAGAAAAGAATTAAAAAATAATAAAATGTCGCTGGAAAAATCAGTAGATATTATTAATATTTTTTTTAATATTTTTTTATGTTAAACGGGTGAAAAAGCATCTTATGTAATAGTAAGAAATTTTATGAAGAAAAGAAAATATTGAATTTAAATTATGAGCCAAATAATATTGAGCATTCAATGAAATGTGTCATATTATTTGGTGCATTTTATTAATTGTGCCCTTTAGTATGGTGCATTATTACAATTCTGCAAAATTCAGTTCGCTTGACTGGAAAGCATATGGGATGATCTTTAGAATGCGTCAAAATGCACCAAATCATTTGACACGTTCTTTAAAATGCGCCAATTGCTCAATTTTAAATTTTAAAACTCATGTGCTACTCCTTAAAAAAAAATCCTAATAGTAATTTGGCCATTTAGAATTCTTGTTGAGATGATAATTTATATTTATTTGATTTATTTGTTTTTTATATTTTATTTTGATGTTAAATTTTATTATTTATGAAAAAAGAATGCTAGAAGACATGGAATTGATTAATCTAGTTTTGAGGCTCTTTCTTTTAAAATTAGCATATCACTTAAAAGATTTTTAAATAGAAAATCAAAATGTTTGGCTTATAGAAGTAAAAAATTTGATTAGAAAATGAAGTATTTTACAATTTGGAAACTCTTTTAAGATTGCTCTCTATCAAGGGACTTTGGTGATTCTCCATTGTTTCCTATTATGTCTACCTATTTAGTTTACTCTATTAGATTTATTTTTTTGAGTTTTTTTTCTTAGATTCCTTTGATTTTTGGTGATTTTTGATGGGTTTGATGCCTATATGATTTTGTAGTTTAGTGGGCTTTGGGTAATGAGAAAAGCTCCTAAGTAATATTTGTAGTCGCATGACAAATAAATATTTGAAACTATTTTTCAATTGCTCGATTTGGTTCATTGGCGAGAGGAATAGATCTATCTTATATTTTAAGTTCATTCCAGTGTTTTTTCATCCAAATAAGATCTTTGGTTGTCTTTTAGATCATTCATTTTGATTCTTTTAAGATTGAGCTATTTTTGTCAAATCTTTTTTATAAATATTTGAAACTATTTTTCAATTGCTCGATTTGGTTCATTGGCGAGAGGAATAGATCTATCTTATATTTTAAGTTCATTCCAGTGTTTTTTCATCCAAATAAGATCTTTGGTTGTCTTTTAGATCATTCATTTTGATTCTTTTAAGATTGAGCTATTTTTGTCAAATCTTTTTTTGGTAGCTCTTTGACTATTTTTCCGCCTTTACATATTGACTTAATTGAGCTATAGCCTTCATCATTCCCAATAAAAAGGTTTTGGGTGAAATGTCCACCTCTAAAGAAAGGCATTTCATGTTGTTCATGTGACATCACATAGAGAAATTTGATGAAACTCTTTACAAACATACAAGTCAAAGCACTTGTCAATTGTGTATTTTGAATGAACCAAAAATTCAACCTTTAAGTACTTCTACTCTAGTGCAAAAGTATGAGACCTTGAAACTAAAGTGGACCAAACAAAGTCGTGTGTGAAGATCCTTAGGTGATTTGTGTTAAGCAAACCATATGGCCAATTGCCAAGTCAATAAAGCCAAAATCAATAATAAGAGGTCAACATGACTTAAATTGGACAGGCCGATAAATACAAATCATTCATTATTATAAATATTGAACTCACTAATGCACAAATTCTTAAAAGGGAGTATAAACAAGTCAGAGTTGTCAAAGCACATCTTAGAGAAATAGGGTATCATAAAGGACATGCTCAAACTTGTACCAATTATCACTAGTCAAACTGAAACTTTAAGAATAATAAGCCAAGATGACCTAATGTAGTAACTCATAAAAGGCACTGATGGTTGACAAATCAAGACAAAGTTGAATATGCTCAAGGCATCGATTACTTAGTTCCATCAACTGGTTGACCTCCTTGAGAAAACTTAAATCCCTTAGACTAATATGACTAAATAAACTAGAAAAAAAAAAAAGTTAAATGAGTCAAACATTGGCAAATGGAGCATGGCTCTTTAATATAAAGTCAATTAACATGTAAAAAATATGTGATATTTGATAGTGCCAAGAGCCCAATAGCTTCATAATAACATCACTTTATTATAAGTGATATATTAAGTGCAACAAATAGTATATATATAATTAGATACATATGTTGGATCCTCACCAACAATAAAATTTATAGAAAGTCATAATTAAGTATACCAATAAAGCCAAACAATCCAATTCAAATGCCCATAGATGGGAAGTAAGCTTTCTTTTGGAAATAGACCATCAAATAGATAAACAAATAAATTTGATCTCAAATTAATTGAAAGCTAGTCATATCAGTTAGGATGGACCATATTTTTTATTTTAGTATTTATGGGCAATAAAATCATAACTAAAATCAAACTAATTAGCATAACTACCATGGAAAATTAATATCATAAAATTCGCCTGCATAATCGTCAATTTTTGTAAAACTGACGATTACATCAAGAGGAAAATATGCCAGAAATTACCGACGGAATTTTCAGTGGAAAATCCATCAAAACTATTTCATTGGGTTTAAGTAAGATGACGGATTTTCCACTGGAAGTTTTGTCGATAATTTACAGCGTATTTTCATCGGAAGTTACTGCCGGTTTTATAGAAACTGACGGTCTTATCGGCGAATTTTCTACTGGTAATTTTATGGCGGTATATCTGCCAGAAAATCCACCGCTAAGTTACTAGTAAAACATCTGTCGGTTTCACCGCCTCTTCTACCCGACAGATGTAATTATGCCGGTAAACCAAGTTTTTCCTGTAGTGAGATTTGTTGAATTGGATTGAATCCATCCTTCAGTGTTAGGATGCTGAGTTATTTTAGGTTCATTCTTCAGGAGATACAAAGATAAAATAGAATCGTCATCTGGGGACAAAATGAAGAATTGAGTTGTCATTTCAGGACAACATCTTAGGTTAGAGTTGTCTTTTAATGAAGAGATGCTAAGTTGAACTTGAGTCATCTCCTACTGATGAGATACCAAAGAGCTTCTGGAGTCTGCTTCTGGAGTCTGTTTACCTTGCGACCAACTTAGTCTTTGTTTGAGACAGTTTTTTTACTGCTTCTTAAAGCAGCTTTTTAATTTTTGTACTAAAAAGCTGCTTTAAGAAGCAGAAAAAAAAGCCATCCCAAACAAAGCTTTAATGTCACTCGTTGGCCTTTACAACTCTTGAATCTTACGTGCGACTTAGCATTGTCAAGGCAACTTAGGTGTAAAACTTTTTTTACTGTCATAATTGAAAACTCTACTTACTTCCTGCCACTACTGAGTAAACTTACTACTCTACTTGCTGGCTGGAAAAACCGGTTTTTGTCTTTTGCAGGTAGGATACAATTCTTAAAATTTTCAATTGCAAACACTCTTGCTTACTGGATTAGAGGAGCCATCATACCCAAAACTGTTTGCAAGCTTATAGATAAAATGTGCTCCAGGTTTTTGTTCCATGGGTCTAATGAATCAAGAAAGTTACATCTTATTGCATGGAAAAACACTTGTCTACCAAAATGCTTTGGGGGTTTGGGCATTCCAAGCATTGACTCTCTTTATTTTGCTTATGCGTGTTCTGCTATTTGGAGATTCTACAATCATGATTCTTTGCTTGCCATGTGGTTGAGACACAATTATTATTCTCCATGGAAAAAGGTGGCCCCTAAAGCTTCTAAATACTGGAAGCTCATATGCAATACGGCTGGGAAAGTAAAAGATAGTATTACCCTTAATATAGATAGTGAAAACTGCCTATTATCTATGTTTTGGGATCCTTGGTGTCTGGGCAAAACTTTGGCTGAAACTCTTCCTCTCATTTCCCCCTCTCAAGCTGCTGTTAAGGATTATATTTCTGGTGGGGGCTGGGTTATTCCGGTTTTATGGGGTACTGAAGCTGCAACTATTATTAGAAAGGTTCCCATTCTTCCCTCCCCTTATCACACTCTATCTTGGATTGGGATTGATAAGCCATGTTTTAAAACTTTCAATCTACATTACTATCGAGAACATATGACTGTGAATTGGCATTCTTATGTATGGCATAAGCGATGTGCTTTACGGTATTCATCTTTCACTTGGCTAGCTTTTAAGGGTGGTCTTAAAACTGCTGAAGTCCTTGCATTAAGGAATATTGAGGTTATGCAGGAATGCTCCCTGTGTTCTAACGGCCATGACAGCACTAGTCATCTTTTTTTCCAATGTGACTACTCGTTTATGATAGTAAAACATCTGCTTCCTGCTTTAAATGAATTTCTGCTAAGGCCTACTATGATCCAGTGTTTTGATTTCTTCAATGACCATCCTGGATTAGGCAGCACCCAAAAGCAATTTTGTTTTCTTGTTCTATGTTGTTCTATCTATTTTATATGGAGAGAGAGGAATGACAGGCGGTTTAGCTCATCTCAATCAACTGTTAATGGCACAATTCTTAAAATTCAGAAAGCTGTGGGAGCTAAATCGTTAAGATGGAGAAATGCTGATAGATTGAAACAAGTTTTTCCAAGTTGTTTTGGTTATGGGAGCAGGTCTTGGGAGTAAGTAGACTGCTGGGCTCTACTTACTCTCACCGGACGATGATGACTGAATTCAGCTCTCTGTCTCTCCCTTTGGACGGCCAATGCTTTTCGTTTTGCCTGTGCAATCCGAGTTTTTGTGTGGCAACCTGGGGCGAGTCTCTTCTTCCCCATGGATGGCTGTCTGCTCTTGATTTTCTATGATGTTGGGACAGGTTTCTGGCAACCGGGGAGAGCTCTGGTCGCTGCTTACTCCAATATTTTTCAGGCCTTGTATCTTCAGTTTTCTGGAGATGCTCTATTGCC